GAGACAAATTTTGAAGATGTTTTTTTTTCAGCTTTTCTTTAAATATATTTTTTCTAATTAGTAGTTTACGTATGATTTTCTTTTTTCTAGTTAGAGTTACTTCCCCTGTATCTTGTATATTGCGAAGCGCTGTTGCGATTTGCTTTTGTGTTTGAAAAAATATTTCAGCTGAGTTACTGAATTTGAAATTTAGCTTGGCGCTTATTTACAGCTTGTTTACCGGAATCACTGTATTGTTTTATGGCTTGATTTAAATAGTTTCAAATTCAGAATTTCGTTCTACACTTTTGGACTAAAGGTTATGTTCATGCTTGGCACTACGAATGTCTAGGGTTCGAGTCCGACCAGTAATTGTAATTTTTGCAAGCTGAAAGTTTTCGGCTTGAAAGATATAATTGCGGGCCTTGCATTTATCTTATTTTTATCGGCATAGTCGCCACAGAACGCGCTTTTCTAGTGAATTGAGCATTTTTCACTGAAATTTAATCCTTTCAATCTCTTACTGTAATGATGCAGGTAATGAGCTCTGAGAAGTTATTTGTTGGTCGATTATTTTGAATTTAGTGCTTTCATTCTCAGCTCAGTTACAAGTGAGCAAAGAATGGAGCTTTGTCTTAAATTTTTCATCTTCTCATAACCAATCATTAATCTTGAAATAAGCACGATTCAGCAATTGAGTGTTTTTAAAACATGAAAAGTGTAGAGAGAGATGGTAGTGAAATTAGATTTGTACGCATGAAAGACACTGGCATATTTTCTGTAATGAAAGTGATGCTAAGCTCAATTTTGTCTGTTTTTTGGTTTCAGCTTTTTTCAGTTATTTAGGCAAGGATTTTTGTAACAGTTTTTTTCGCAATTTAAGACAGTGTGAACTATACGTTCGTTGCTGCCTGCATTATACATGCAACACTTGTGTCAGTGATTGAATTGAAAACACTTATGCGTGCATTTTTGCTGCGAAAGTTTTTAGGAAAATTTAAAAATGTTGACTTTGAAATTTCACTTCAAGCTTACATCAAAATTATTTGTCATATGGAAAACAAATTAGGCTGTCCAATATCATTGCAAATTGCGGGAACAAAATTTTTTACACTCGCAATTGCAAGTGTTTTATAATCGGGCTCTATGACGTTGTGTTGTGGCGTTTTCAGGCACTTCGAAACAAAATGATAGATGATCAAAGGTGGCATTTTATTGGAACCGGTAACTGAGAAATATTTACTGCGCAAGTTATACTATGTAATAGCAATGACTTTGGTAGTTAAAATCTTTTGTGCACCAGCAATTCACAATAGTATGGAAGTTAACCATTGCGCAAATTCAAACACATCACCTTTCATTGATTTTTCCTAACTTCGTTTAAATTTTTGATATATAATTAAATGTCCATTCTTTGCGCCGTTTTTAAGTCCATAATTTTGCGTGTATTTCGGAACGGGGGCTATTTTCATGTGCCTAAGGTTGAATGAGCGAAGGTCTCAACCAATCAACGCCCTTTAAAATGTCCAAACCTGACTGAATCTATTGCTTATTTCTTTCGAATTTTTTTGCGGAGCTCTGATTGGTTGACAAAATTGATATACATTATGTCCTTCGCGCTCGACGGATTTCCTGGTTGGGAAGGTTCATCGCTATCTGCACAGCAACCGGTTATCCTTGTTATTTACTATGCTTGTTTCAGGACCTTAGCAATAATCAAACCCGATGCCACGAGATTCAAAGGTAATTAGAGTTTTCGTTTCTTTTATTTAAGTGCTAATGAACGAAGTTCAATTCACTCAATTTTTCATGGTTGTTTTCCGGTACAAAGTCTTATAAATAGTTCATGCTCAGAATTTTATGTCGGTGGATTGATTTTTAATTTTTTATGTTCGAAAATTCTCTTTCAAATGAAAAGAAGCTAATTAAGTTCTCCAGTAACTAAGTGCAAATCGCGGGAAAATGCGATTGACTTCTAGTTTCAAATTGGTTTGTATCCCACCTGAAAAAATCATAGATCTAGTTTCCTCTTGTTGGGTAAGTTTTTTGTAATTTTAAGCAAGTAATTTTGAGTTCATTTAAAACACTTTTCCCACCGTCTGTTTGCTATGTCTTATTAACAAAAAAGTTTCCTGACTCTTAAAATAATTCGACCTTTGACGTGTTCCAATCTAAATGCCCGTGATTTTTGCGCAGGTGACATCTTGCAGGCTATGAGTCGGGACGGGTTCAAGGTCACGCAGATTCAGATGTGTCATCTCACCAAGGACCAGGCCGGTGCATTTTACGCTGAGCACAAGGGCAAACCATTCTTCAAGTAAGAACAAGCTGAAACTCCGAAAAAGTATTAAGATACCTGGGTTAGATTTGCTTATCAGAACTAGGAATGAATAATGAAGATTTAATCGTGCCATTTGTTACACTTACGAGAGCAAGTGTCTTGTAATCGGGAACTAGACTTTTTTCCGTTATCAACTTTTCTTACACATTTTCAACAAGCTTTATTATTGAATTTTAACAATTTCCAAGTTCTTTACAACTTGGCCTAGAGGTAAGGCCGTCCCTTTTCCAAACTTAGGTCAAGGGTTCCTTGTTTTATAGGTCAAGACCGGACCTTGTTTTTTCGCTGTATGTAGTATCCAATTGAAAAAAGTTTTCGGTAAAAATTAAAATGGTCGGATTTTTGTTTGTCCTAAATAATGTCTGCTTAGTTGCCAAATAACAAATTTTGCTTGTGCGTAAAAAAACTTATACTGTATTATATTGTAGTTGCAAGTGTTGTTCATTTTCGAAGTTTTTTTGTTCAAACAATTTTTTCGGCTCAACTGGTGTCTGTTCAAAGCTTGTCGGCTTTGTTTCCTATTCGTAGTTTTTGTTCGGTTGCTATTTTTAAAATGAAATGTCCTGTTTGTCTAGAATTATTGTTTGATAAAAACGGGCATGATGAAAATGTGTTGAATTGGGTTTTTTATTTAGTTTTTTGAGACGCTGTGAAAAATGTTTTCACTTTTTGCAAAATAGTTGTTTTCTAAAGTTGCTCTACCAATTTTCAAAAAAGGGGTATCAATGGAAAGGCCGCCTACAAATCTGCGAGCTGTCTTAATCCCCTAGTCTCTTATGATTTTAGCTCACTGTCTACAGCCTTCGAAATAGTCTGTGGGGGATTATTTGACCCATATTTTTCGATTTTTTCTTTTTCTCAAAAAGGACTGTCCCAAATCTGAGATTTTTGGTTCAATGAATAGAACGGGTTGTGCAAAGTTCTCCTGCATAATCGACTACGCCCAAAATCTTTTATACAAAAGGTTAGCGGCTTCGGAAAAGTCAGTTGTTTTAACTGTATTTTGAAACTATTTGTGGTTTCTCGAAAACTACTTTTTTCAAATCTTGATTTTTTGGTTCAATAGAAATAACAGTTTGTGTGAATATCTTCTGCATGAGCGGCTACGCCTTAATTTTTTAAAACAAAAAGCTATGATTCGTGGAAAACTTTTGTCGAAAACTACCCTGACAATTCTTAGGTTAAGTGTTCAATCGAGAAACGCGGTTTTGGGATTTTCTTCCGCTTAAGTGTCTGCGAAATAATTTTAGCTGAAAAAAGTTATTGGTTTAGGAAAGTCAAGATTTTGGACTTCTGACTATTTTTCGGAAACTTTTTGACGTGCTTAAAAACTACTATGTTGAATCTGAGATAAAGGGTTCAATCGAATGAACGGGTTGTGACTCCTAAATTGTATGAAAAATGTTATGTCCTCGGGAAAGTTCCGATGTCTGAAAAGTTTTCACTCTTCTCACTCATTTTGGTAGAGAACTAAGGTTTTGGGCAAAGTCCAATTTCTGAAATTTTCCATTGCATCCCGCATCAGTATGACAAATTCGAAAAGTATCAAACAGGTAGCGCCAGCTTTCTCTGGGCATTTGTTTTCTTTTATTTGAGTCATACGAAAGTTTTGGTTCACTCAGTTTTTTCAACATTTTCATTTTCGAATTTATTTGCAAGTGGTGTGAAGCTCCGCTTCGCCTCTGTGTTGAATGTTGCGATAGAAATATGGTTGTACTCCATCGTAGTTTTGCGCTATTCCATTCGACTGACAACTGTAGCCGGACGAAGAGCAATTGGAATTGCACTGCTCTTCTGTTCGACTAGAAACTGCGACCTGACCTTTCCTTTGTGATATGCCGTGTTGGGTTTTGTTCTGCTTCAGTAACCTGGTTGAGTTGATGACTAGTGGATGTTGCATTGTGATGGAGCTGATGAGACCCAATGCTATCCTGAGGTGGAGGGATCTGCTGGGTCCCACCAACACCCAACAAGCACAGGCATCCGCGCCCAACTCCATCAGGGCCAGATTCGGAACAGGTAGGACCAGCTTCACTATACACACTAAACGCCAAAGTCAAGAGAGATGGGGAGGGGAGGAGAACGAGATTGCTAGCAGCGTATTAAAATTTCAGAAACATATTTAAAGTGTGCTAGCTAATTAGAAATTGATTCTAATTTCAGCCATCTTCAGCTAAGTCACAGTAGAAACTTAAGTGTATGTGATACATTTTGGAAAGACGCGTAGCGCGAGGATCAAAAAACTTATTCCCCAGCAAGAACTGATGGTTTGAAAGTCTCAATGAACCAAAAACTGTGTGTTTTGGTCATTTGCTTTGACCATAAAAGTCTTGAACTACATTTTGGTGAAATGTGATTCAGACCAAACGAAAAACGCCTGTCATGGCAGTGACTCACCCGAATCAGCCCGGAGGGAGCTGGAGTTCTTCTTCCCTAGAGATACCAGTCGTAGCAGAGCTCCCGCGAACACAGCCAGACTGAGTAACAGCACCCTGGCCGTTGTGAAGCCACAGGCTGTGAAGGATGACCAGCTCGCTCAAATTGTGAAAGACATTGATGGAGCTGGATTCAATATTCTCGCCTTAAAGAGTGTAAGCCGCTACAGCTGTCCGTTTTTGTAGTTCGGTTGTTTTTTAAGTTTTTTAAGCAGCAAGTAAATCTTTGAGAAAGCTTAATTAGAAGCATTCAATTTACATGAAAAATCAGATTTTTTCTTGTTTTTTTTGCAACTGTGATTGATCGGATGAATAATATTCGAATGTTCTTGCATCAGTTGACTCGTTGGTCTTGCCATGATTGTGCTGTTTGTTGCTTAAGTATTGTGTGGTTGTTTAAATTATTGCATTTATGCTGCAGTTCAACCTGGAGAAGAGTGACTGTGAGGAGTTCCTGGAAGTGTACAAGGGAGTGGTGAATGAGTACGGGGACATGGTGTGTGAGATGAGCAGTGGGACATGCGTGGCTCTGGAGATAGACGCTCAGGGCGATCCCGCCAAGTTCAGGGCATTCGTTGGACCAGCAGATCCAGTTAGTCCCACTCTCGCTCTCAATTCAGCCAATCAATTGCAGCCCACTTAATTCCACTAGCTAAAATCAGACTATTTTTTTATCTGAAAACGGCGCTGCCCTGGTCGAATAACAGGTCCTATGTTGGTCCTATCCCTCGTGGATAAAATGAATAAAAAAAAAACTAGCAACTCTTTTATTACTCAAGCAATAGGTAGTGTTATGTTACGATTTCACTTGCGATAAGCAAGGGTAATGCAATCGGGTACTAGACTTTTTCTCCCGTAAACAACTTTTTTCACAGAATGGTCATTTTAGTAGGAATGGTAAATATCACTTCATGTGCTGAAGTTCTAGAAATTACTACCATCATTTAAGTAGTAATTAGGTAAAGACTGTTTCAGGTTGTAATTAATTTAAAAAAAATTGTCCATTTTTTTCGGGTTGTGGTTTTCGTCCTAGTGTCTGTCGGTTTATTTTCCGTTTTTTTAAACGCGAATTTTTTTATCCTGTAGTGTTTTTATTGGCTTACTATTTAAAGCATGGGTTTTTTTCCAATTTAAACTGTTTTTTTTTTCACTATAACTGAAAGTTCAATTATTTGTAAATGTACCATGACTGATTTTGCAATTTTTTAAAAAATATTAAAGCAGATTGTTGTTTCGGCCTAGTCAACTTATATTGCGTAATTTGGAGGGGAAAATATATTTGTATAGGTTTATGTGCTGCAGTATGGATGGGTCGTAAAAACTTCTAAAACTTCGTGAAATTTTTCTATGACAACAGTTTTGTGTTCGACCCAACAATGCTCAACGTTTCGACCGAAAATTTGTTGCCTTTTTATCGCTCGGTGAATCATTTCCAATTATTTTTAAAGCTGTTTATGAACGTCATCCGATACAATCATGAAGTTTTTGTGGCTGTAGTTTTTCCAATTTTTTCAAGTTATTTTTTCAAGTAATTTCAACTCAATTTTTCAGCATTTTTTACTGTCCTTTTCACTAATATTGTACCGCAATGTGTAGTGCAATTCGAAGTTTTTCAAGCTAGTTTAATACTGATTGTTGTGTTCTGCAATTGATTTTCATCAAAATGAGTTTCAGTTTGTAACAAACATTTAAACGTTTCGGGTATTGTTCTTTTGGCATTTTGTCAGTTTTTACGGTGGCTTTGTGTATCGCGAGTGGTGCGAAGCTCAGCTTCGCCTCTGTGTAAGTTTTTCTATCTACCTCGAATAAGTTGTTGCTCAGAAAGTTAGCATTTTTACTTCATTAACTGCATTGGCACTTAAACCTTTTCGCTTTGCTTTTAATTTGCATATGTATTATCCACTTTATTTGTGGCTAATGTTTGAAGACAGCTTGTAGCAATTTGTTTGATGTCCTGTTTCTGAGATGCTACAAGTCGAAATATTCTATTATGTTGTTATATTAGGAAATCGCCAGGCACTTGAGACCGCAGACCCTCAGGGCGAAGTATGGGAAGAGCAAGGTGCAAAATGCAGTCCACGTCACAGATCTTGTGGACGACGCCCCTCTAGAGGTAAACTTAGTTGATGCAATGCTGCCCTAAATTGTTGGTCTACAAAAGCTGCTTTTCTCTTTGTTGCGTTTCTACAGTAGCAATCTTATTTTTATCTTATTCAGTCACGCCTTTTTGTCGACCTTTTTTTTAGGTCAACCAAATTGTTTTTTCGAGCTCTCCCAAAGCACTGTTTTATTCCTATTTTGGCCAAATTTCCTGCGGCGCAGGCAAATTTTTGAAAAAACAGGTCAAAAAAACCGTTTTGGGCACTTTTTGGAAAATTTTGACCGAAAAATTGCATTTATTCGGCGCGCTCTCCCCACTCAAAATTAGTATATATTGGCCCCTTTAGAAAAATTTTAAGGTTGGTCGGCCAAAATTGGATTTCTTAAAAATACCAAAAAGGGTGCGTCCGCCCCCCACCCCACCCGCTCCCTAAATCGCCCCTGATCCAGCATACAGAAACCATTTCTAGTCACTTAAGAAAATCTTAGATCTGCCTCTGAAGAAATGCTTTGAATGCATTAATTTTTATGCAATTTGAAACGTTAGTTCTGAGTTCACTTAGAGCTATATGATATATCTTTCAACATGAATAATTATCCCCAGAATGTAAAACACAAATTTTTCGTTAATTTAGGAATGTTTCTGAAAACCATGTATCCACTAGGAAACTACCAACTTATCTGATGTGTGGCAAATTGAATTAAACCGCTCTTGTGCCTCTAAAGAAAAGCTGCATACATGTTCTTGCTGTCATATTTAGGTCGAATATTTCTTCCGCATTTTGTCTCAATGAGAGACAGACAGAGATAATGAGAGAGACGAAGTTAATCAATCAACAACTGCATATTTGGTGAAGGAACGAAAACAGAACTGAAAACTTAAACTGTACGGAAATTATAATGAAAATGAATTGATGAATCTTTAATTGTGTAGATATGTGGATATGTATGTAGTACCAACTTACCAATCGGCACTTTTTCATCACCTCCCATGAGATAGAGAATGTTCATTTTAACAGTACTACATCTAGCGAATGTAGTGTTGCATTAACTCTTAAACTCTAATCCACGGCTTTTCGGTGGCACTTTTGCCACAAAGCAGTCTCAATTTTGAGCATCTGATCTATCAGCTGAATTAATGGCTAGCGTTTGCAGATTTTCTTGTGAAATAGGCACATTCGCGGAGGCTTCAAGGCTTACTTTGCGTAGTGCAGCTTTCCCTCTTGTGTACTGAACTCCTACTGCCTGTCATGCTATTATATTTCGTACGGATGAGTTTGAAATTAGATAGCATGATGACTTCTCATGTCGGAATTGATCTAGATGTTAAAATACGGGCTGACATGAGATTTTTGCCTTTTTAAAAGACTAGTGCTCTGAACGAAAACATCATTATAATTTGGGGTTTAGTGGATGGATTGTGATTGGTTAGTAAAAAAATCTCAGTCACAATTAATATCCAAGTTCGAAGAAGGGGCGGATTTAGGGGGAGGGACGCCCCTCTATCTCAGGGATTCGACCCCCTGCCGACCCAAAGGGTCCCCCCTTTGTACTATTATCCATTTTTGGTGACGGACCCTTAAATTTTTTTAAAGGCGCCTTTGGTGCCAATATATACTTATTTTGAGGGGGTAGCGCGCGCTAAAATTAAAGTATTGTGGTAAAAATTTTCCAAATAATGCCTAAAAACGCTTTTTTTGACCTGTTTTTTAAAAATTTTGCCTGCGGCGAAGACATTTTGGCCAAAACAGGGTCTTTTAGGGCGTTGGGAGAGCTCACAAAATGTTTTTAAAATACGCTTCCTCCCTCGAGAAAATCCTAGATCCGCCCCTGGTTCGAAGAATCAAAAATTGAAGAAAGAGGTCTCACCCGGCGGCATCACTCCCATTTCGAAGCACAGATACAGCAATGATTTAAAATTATCCGTATAAAAAGATAGAATAGCGTTTTATCTAATTGGGTTGAGATAGACAAAAAATGATAAGAACTAAAGTTGATTAGAATTGCATCGGAATTATTTTAGTACAATGTATTGACCCAAATTTTTGAAAAACATTCTGCTAAATTTTCCAAAAAAATTGTTCATTTTGGATTTATTTAGTCATCAAAACGTACGTGAAACTCATGATTTAATTGCTGCGCAAGCTATCAAAGTGAGCCTCAAGTACAGCCCAACAAAGTTTGAGAAGGCTATAGCCTCCAAAAATCTGCGTCAATGAATATAATTTTGTTTGCTAGCCAAAACATGGTAATTTTATTTTATAAAATACCAATCCTTTGCTTGAAAGCAAATTTTGGACGTTCTGCGCAATTTTCTGGAGGTTCTATCCTTCTGAAACTTTGTTAGGCTGTATGAGAGGATCCCTTTGATATACTTCGCGCATCAATTGACCTACAAGATTTGGCGTAAGTTTTATTGACTAAAAGACGCCATAATGATCCATTTTTGGGATAAAATGTTGGCCCCAAAACTCGCACTTTAATTTTTAAAACAGGGTTGGGTTTAAAACAAGTTTTTTAAATAAAACGTTTTAAAACGTATAAAATTCAGATTTAAACTTCTTTGTCATAATTATACCACACATTCTTGGCTGAAAAAAAAACATGGAACCGATTTGAAACTTCAAATTTGAAAAACTTAAACAGGCAAAACTTAGGCCATGGTAAAACATAAAAGTGATACGTCACAGGTTAACGGCACGCAAGCAAAATGCAAGCTTAGCTACTTTTTCAGAAAATAAGCGGTTTCTCAAGTCAGAATGTACGAAGCCCATAGATGAGAAGACTCTCTCAATGCCAGCTGAGCTTGGCACGAGAGCAGCTGCGATCTCACACAGATCTGCCAGGTTGTCGGGATATGCACCAAATTGTTTTTGAGCCCGAATAAAATTTTGGAGCTTGCATCCTGGAGCGCTTTCATATGCTGCTTTGACGGCATCTTTACTCTCGCCACCAACGTAGTCCGTGAATCCTGCTAGGTGTTCTGGGGCCTCATCGGCTATCCACTTTCTGGCGGTTCGCCACTCCATAGGTGTCAGATTTGCGCCTCGGTACTTTGGGTGAAGTATGCTAGCCACAAACCAAACCGCCGGAACAGAGCAATTGTAACGAGTTTCTGCTTTTTCTAGCCATTCCCGACCTTCAGCGCCAAGATCCCGGAACGATTTGAGGACACCTTTCCATGCTTCCAGTCCGTCAGCAACGCTGCTGTTGTTGCTTTGCATGACATTAGATGCTTCGCAAATGGGTTTTAGGCATTTTATGGCATCTTCTACATTCTGGTAGAGAACGAGATCTTTCACCAGTTTTACAACGGTGGAGCAGGCGGCCGTATTGAAATGCACAGGATTTCTGTCGAGCACTGCTTTCACCTTTGGCCGTTTCTGATAACAACAAACATCAAAATTTCATTCATAATTTTGTAAATGTTAACAAAAAATATTATATAAGAACTCACTTCTTGGTACCATTCCAGCAGATAAAGAGCGCTGTTCCACCGGACGTCGCTTGGAATTGGGGGTTTCCGAGCGCCTATGTCTTCCAGCCAGGCCTTAGGCAGATAGGTGTTCCGAAAAAACTGTGCAATTTCTGTGACTTTCTTCACGATGGTTGTTGGAGCCAAATCTTTTGCCAATAGATTCATATGGTGTGCTCCGCATCCATACTGTATGACGCTGCATTCTTCTGCCAAACTTTTCTTCGGCAACTTTAATTTGGCCTTGGCTTACACTGGTCAGGTACTCGCTGGTATGATGCTCGCCACTGGTATCTATGGAGTCAACAATGTAGACTTTGTCGCCGTGTTGGATTGAAGATGCAACATTGGGGTCATTTGATAGGTTTGACCAACCATCGATGGCAATTGTAACTTTTTTGCCTGATAGTTTGGCCTTGCATTGTTCCTCCAGCTCTTTGTTTACGTTATCCAGAATCTTTGTCGACATTAATTTACGGCTTGGCAGTTTGTATCCTGGACGTAGTAACTTAACCAGGTCGTGGAAAAATGATGATTCTACACACCGGAATGGAATGTTGTTAGCAAAGAAAAACTTTCCAACCGCGTGGTCAAATGTATCTTTTTGTTCCTCAGTGGTGGAGATTGTATAAGATGTTATCCGCGGTTGCTTTGCCGGAGTGGGCACCCCTGTAGATGGAACCTCTGCATTGTTCGAGCCCGACGAGGTTCCGGCAATAGGGCCGTGCTTATTTCTAAAATGGGTCTTCATCCGTTCCACTAGTGCAGCTAGCGTATGGCAACATGTTCGACATTGTGCTTTGATCCCGGCTTGACGTGTGGATTTGCCCCCCGGGTTGACCAAAACTTCTTATCATACAATTTCCATATATGAGAAACTTCTTGTCATACAATTTCATACAATTCCATACGTACAGAAAATTGTATGAAAACTCTATGATAAGCATTTTTCCATATATGAAAATTGTGTGATAGATGTTTTCCCATAAACAAAAAATTTTGATTTTTTCTTTCTAAATTTAGTTTCTGAAAAATTTTCGATTGTAGTTGCAACCGAACACAAGTGACAAAGACCTTGGTTACTCAAAACACCAAAGGTTGGACGGTCTTGCATTTACAATGCATAGAAAACGACCTGAATTTGGCTGTCTTTCACAATTGATATAACAAAAGTAACAAACTTTTATTTTTTGGCAAAATTTTTTAATGATGATTTTTAGAAAATTAATAACCATTTTTAGAAATTGTATGAAAATTGTATGACAAGCATTTTCCCACACACTTGATGTATGGAATTGTATGATAAGCATTTTCGGTGTATGGAGGTCAACCCGGGCCCATATCGGATAAAGAGGTCTGCCAGCAGAGGACATAATCAGCCTCAGTACACAAACAATATCTGAAATGATGGACCGGTAACCGACAATGTTTGTTCAAGTCAAACAATTCATCCCTTGGCCAAGTGACGAGATTTCCTATCCAAACATACAATGCTTACAAACGTATATGTTGCTTCATATTGTTGCAGTATGACGTAATATAAAACAATAATTAAAAACATGAATAAAAAACACCTGTTTTAAAACATGTTTTAAAGCCCCCTGTTTTAAAACAGCCAACCCTGTTTCAAAATATTAATTCTAGTATAACTCTAAGAAGTAGTAAAGTTGAACGTAGTGAACATTCTCTTATTGTCTTGGTGATTTTTTCCGTAATTTTTTTCAGGAAAAATCTTTTAAGTGCTGATAACTACAGAATTGGGTCCATGTGCACTAAAAGTCGGTAAAATGTGCTCTACAATTACGAGAAAAATGGCTCATTAACATGAGCGGTTTCTAAGAACTTAATTTAAGATTTCTGAGTGGAAAGGCAATCAACGATTGATTCACTTTTCTCAAATTGGGGTAATTAAACAGAAAAGTGTCACTCATAAGTTTTGTTGAAAATCGATTAGCTTAAATCATCATCATAACCGGTTTTGGTATTTAGTTTGCTGCGGTAGTCCCAGTCACTGGGGTTGGCAACTTCTAACTCCTGCTCTCCATCCTTCCCTGTCCCGCGGATCGGTGCATTTTAAAGGCGATATTTATTTTGTTATCAAAATTCGAAACCATTTTTTTCAAAAAGAAATCAATATATTTTTTTTCTGTTTTACGTTCATTGACTTTTTTCAATTGTCTGTTGGCTATGATTGTCTTACGACACTGTGAGAAAATAAATGAGCTTCATTTTTTAACTTTTGCACCGTACGGTCTTTGATGGCCGGATTTTGGTTTTTAGGCCGGAGTTTGCTTTTTTCTGTTGGAATACAAACGGAAAACATTGTTTTCTCTGATTAGTTTTGTTGGTTGATTTGCCACAACATGGAAATTTTTTGAACGGCCAGCTTTTTTTGTAATCGCAAGATTTGTTGATTTACTTCTGTAAATGAAATTTTTATTATATCTGACTTTGTATAATTTTTTTTATCGATTAGAGCTTCTAGCTTTTTCGAATCGT